ACAATGTTTCTACAAGTGCATCGGTATGTTCTATAAGAATTCGCAGGTATATAATAGAGCTGACAAGGGACAAATTTGTAGTCACTCCTTGGTCACAGCCAGCTACCAAGAAGGAGAAAGTAGTTGGACCTGTGAGCTCAGGACCATAGTCGCAGGGGACATCAAGTTCAATTGGCATAACATACTACACAAAACATTGTTCCACATCCTACTTCGGCAAATAGTGACTAGAATCTTAACAGCTTGCAAGCGACCATTTAGATACAACGATGGGTCTCTCCTCATCCAGAGCAAAGAAGAATGAAGAAAACCAAAGATGCATGGAAACAATTAGTCCAAGTGACTGGTACAACATGTGATCCTCAGCCTATACGACTATGAGACCAGAAGAACTAGATGGTGCCTGGTTATCATTGTCAACCACTCGGAGGGGGATCAATGTAGGAGATCCTGGATAGAGTGGGACAACAATGTGGAACAAAACTCAAAAGCATTAAAAAAAAAAAAGGGAGGGGGGAACCAGGTTTGCTGGTCTGATAGAACCCCTGAGACTATGGCCTCTAGCTGCCCTTCAGGTCTGGAATTGAACCCACTCCTGTGGCTTCCAGCCAAACAAAAGACAGGCATATGAGCTGAACATTTCCCTTAGGTAGATACACTCCTTGGAGAGTACAATCATGGGAGAACAGAAGGTCTGTGGAGGGAAGGACACAGGGAAGACGTTGCTATGGGGAGGAAGTGGGAGGGGAGCTCTTGCATCATGGGAAGTTGTAGTCAACGTCATGAGACAAAGTGTATGTGAGCTGCTGTATGGAAAGTGAATTTGCTCTGTAAACATTCACCCAAATCACAATTTCAAAACAAAACAAAACTGCAGTACATCCACACCACAGAACAAGATTGGCAGTAAAAAGGAAGGAAGACTATAACATTTACTTCAGTGGGTCTTAAGGGTGTTCTACCAAAAAAAATCAAACCCACTGCCTAGTCGATTCCAACTCATAACGACCATCATTGGGTTTCTGAGGCAGCAAATCTTTACAGAAATAGATTGCCCAGTCTTCATTCCATGGGGTGGCTGATGAGTTTGAACCACCAATCTTCTGGTTAGCAGTCAAATGCCTTAGGCACTGAGCCACCAGAGCTCCAAGGGCATTCTACTAAGCAAAAAAAAAAAAAAACTCAAAGGTCACATACTGTATGATTCCACTTATAGAGCTTTCTAAAATGATACAGGTTAATTGTTGTCAAGGGTTATAAAAAAGTGGTGTGAGGGAGATCTTTGAGTTGATAGCCCTGAATCCTGCTTGCAGTGGTTACATGAATCTACAGAAGTGATGGCAATCTACTCTACATGTACTTGGTACCAAAGAAACTAATATTGTACTACACTTATGTGAAATGTAATCATCAGGGGAAACTGAGTGAAGAGTACAAGGGACTTGTCATGGACTGAACTGTGTCCTCTCAAAATGTGTGTCAACTTGGCTAGGCCATGATTCCCAGTACTGTGTGGTTGTCTTTCATTTTGTGATCTCATGTGGTTGTTCTGTGTGTTGTAAATCCTATCTCTGTCTGTGGTTAATGAGACAGGATTAGGTTACCTTAAAGAGGACTGGTTTATGTTTGTTATGTTAATGAGACAGGATTAGAGTGGGATGTAACACCCTTGCTCAAGTCAAAGCCCTGCTCAGATGTAAGGGGAGTTTCCCTAGGGTGTGACTTGCATCACCTTATATCTTCCAAGGGATGAAAGGAGAGAGGTGAGCAGAGGAGGGGCCTGACTACCACCAAGAAAGAAGAGCCAGGAACAGAACCCATACTTTGGACCCAGAGTCCCTACGCTGAGAACCTCCTAGACCCAGGAGAAAACTGATGCCAAGACACTTGTAGATTGCCAAGGAATACTGAGGCCACAGATGTTGAATGGAGACCGGGACTGTCTTCCAGAGCTGACACAGACAGAAAGCCTTCCACTAAAGCCAGTGCTCTAAATTCAGACTTCCAGCTTCCTGTCTTAGGTACCTCGTGCTGCTATAACAGAAATGTCACAAGTGGATGACTTTAACAAACAGAAATTGATTCTCTCACGGTTTAGGAGGCCAGATGTCCAAATTCAGACCACTGACTCTAAGGGAAGGCTCTTTCTTTGTTGCCTCTGGTAGAAGGTCTTTGCCTCTTTTTGACACCTAAAGGCCTGGCGTTCCTCGCAGATCTCCATGTATCTTGGCATTGATCTTCCCCTGAGTCTAGGAGGTTCTCAGTGAAGGGACCACAGGTCCAAAGGATGTGCTCCACTCTAGCTCTTCTTCCTCAGTGGCAGTCAGGTCCCCCAGTCTCTGCTTGCTCATTTAATCTCTCTTATATCTCAAAAGAGATTGACTCAAGATACAATTTGATCCTGTAGACTGTACCCTGCCTCATTAACATAACTGCCTCTAATCTTGTCTCATTAACATCATAGAGGTTAGGGTTTACAATACACAGGATCAGACTACAAAAAAAAGAACCAAGGATAATTACCTAATACTGAGAATCATTGCCTGGCCAGGTTGACACATATTTTGGGGAGACATAATTCAATCCGTAACACCTCCTAAACTGTGAGAGAAAAAAAATCTGTTTGTGAAAGCCATCCACTTGTGGTGCTTCTGTTACAGCGGCACTAGCTAACTAAGACAGGCCTTCTCTGTACTGTCCTTGTAATTTCCTGTGTATCTATGATCATTTCAAGATGGAAAGTTAAAGATGAATAAAATCAATGAAAAAATTTAAGATTATAAAAATACATGCAATTTTTATCAAAATTTAGGTCAGTTTCATTTATGTTCTAATTATTGAAAGAAATAACGATAAAATCAATGGATTAAAATTAAACTATATACAACATAACCTCCTTCTCTTTATGTTTATGCATCAGAGCGTAACTGTCAAGAGGGACATTTTTCAAAAACCCCCAAAGCATCATGTTTTTCTCAGGGTCCCACATATCCTTTTCCTTTTCTATCTTTCCCTGTTGGGTTGCTAACCGGCCTGGCCCTGTGAGACCCTCATTCATCACTGGATCTGTACACAGCTATGGCAGTTCTCCACTTCCATCAACTTCATGAAATTCTCCAGCTTTAGCAAGGTTTGCAGTTGCACTTTGCTATTGATTAGCATTGAATCAAAGATGCTAACAGATGGTCCCCAGGGATGCTAGAGCCAATAGGGAGGGGTTGAGTGGAAACTGCTTTTAGAGGTGAAAACACTTTTAGTAGTGAATATGTCTGTTTTAGGATTGTTTGCTCCCCTAAGCCATGGAAAGCAGAAACCAAGAAATATTATTTAATTTAGAGATAAGTGGAGGACAAGCTTCTCCCTTACAGCTGCTTTCAAGTCACAGGCAGCCCTCCAATAGAAGCCTCCCAGGCTCAGGCTGGTTTCATATTCTCCCTTTCTCATCAACCAGGCTTGGGTCAGCATCCTGAAGCCAGAGGTCAAAGGGCAGACCCTGGCCTTCCAGCCCCAGGTCCACAGAAAACATGAAACCCACTGCTCTTTTAATGATAGCTCAAAATGAAGTGTCATTAAGAAACAGAGCAACAGTCAAGAATTACTTTAAACAAAGATGAGACTGTAAGGAGAAAGGGAAACTAGATTAATAGATACAGAACAACCAGAACAGAAATACTGAGAATGTTCACTGTGATGTTTAATGTTATATTTCAACTTGGCTAGGCCATGATTCTCAGTATTGTGTGGATGACTTCCATTTTGTGATCTCATGGAATTAACCTCTATTTTATGATATTTTGTAATTATCCTCCATTTTATGTGTTATAATGGTGCAGTGGTTAAAGCATTCATCTGTTAACCAAAGAGTCAGCAGCTCACCAGCCACTCCACAGAAGAAATATGAGGCAGTCTGCTTCTGTAAAGATTCATAGGCTTGGAAACACTATAGGGAAGTTCTATTCTATCCTATAGTCACCATAAGCTGGAATCGACTTGATAGCAGTGGGTTTGGTTTTTGTTATTGTTACTGAGGCAGGATTAGGGTGGGGTGTATCTTGATTCTCAGCTGTATAAGAAGGCATGACTCAAGTCTCACCCTTACTCAGGTCACTCCATTACTCAGATCCTGCCCTCACTCTGGTGTCAGGGGAGTTTCCTTGTAGAGGGGTGGGGCCTTGCATCCCACGTGTACAGGGACGCTCTGGCAAAGCTCTCCCTTACTCTGGATCCTGCGTCTGGTTTGTCATCATCAGATGTCCAGTTCTCGGGACTTGAGCTCGCATCCTCTCATCTGACCTGCTTCTGCAGCCCCGTGAGCCCTGTCGTTGTGGGTTCATCTGTCCCTGCAACCATGTGAGTCAGGAAAAGCCTCCAGCCTGACATCTGACCCATGGATTTGGGACTTGCCTGGCTCCAAAACCACGTGCACCACTTTCTTAAGATTTCTTTTTCTCTCCATACACACACACACACACACACACACACATACGTATATGGAGACAGAGAGTCAAATCCAACTCACAGCAACCCCCACTGGGTTTCCAAGGCTATAGATCTTCATGGAAGTAGACTGTCTCATCTTCCTCTCATGGAGTGGCTGGTGGGTTTGAACTACCAGCCTTCTGGTTAGCAGCCACCAGAGCTCCTTAATATATATAATATGTACACACACACACGCACACATACGCTTTACTTGTTTTGCTTCTCTTGAGAATGCAACCTAAAACATTCATGCATTGTTTCAATTCAGAATTCAACCAATGTCACTGAACAACTTGTGTAGAAATGATTGGGGAACCTAACAAGTAAACCTTCACCGAAAACAAAACAAAAAAAGGTTTAATAAAAAAAAAAAAAAAAGGGAAGAAAGAAACAGCCACTGTACACTGGGGACAGGGGGACTGGAGCACAAAGGAAAAGGAAGTCTGTTTACATGGCAGGACCGAGGAGGAGGAAGAGTTGTCACACTCTGTGCCCACATGAAGCCAGAGACAAATACATACGCTGTCACCCTGTGGGATCTGGGACAGGCTCTGCTGAACTTCTTGGCTGGAGAGGGAAAGACCCATATAGCTTCCCAATTCTGCCAGGTTGGGATACAAAACTGATGGGGAAAGAAGGAAAGAAAGAAGAAAGGTGTTATTCGCGAGTCCAGGCTCCCCTCTGCCTCCTGGCTCTCTGTGCTGCTCACGAGGCTGCTGGCTTCATGGTTATTAGAAATCCCGGCCCCAGCCCCAATGCAACTCACTGTCCAGTCAGCTCTGCCTCCCAGCAACCCCATGCGGGTCAGAGCAGACTGTGCCCACAGGGCCCCCACTGGGTGCATTTGCAGAAGTCCATTGTCAGGCTTTTCTTCTGACCCACCTCAGGGCAGACTCAAACCTCCAAACTGAACGTGTTACCAATGAACCGCCAAACTGAACATGTTACCAATGAACCGCCAAACTGAACGTGTTAACCAATGACTGCTCAGTAAGACACGGGGCCTGAGCATGCTGTATATTCCCAGGAATGCAGTGTACCTGAGAATGGTGGGTATACCTGAAACCCTGTGTCCCCTTGGGACTGTGCTGGGTACCCAGGACACCCTGAGCCCTGGAGAATGCTGTAGGTGCCCAGGACCATGGGAGCTGTGGGAGAAAAGCAGAGCCACTCACTGAGGATGTGGGTCCTCTCCTCAGAAGGTCTGAGGTACAGGGGATCTGCCTTTCTCCAGGAGGGGTGTGGGGGACACCCCCCATGTACCACTTACAGTATTCAACTCAACTGACTTTAGTTGGCACCTGCTGGGGCTGGGCCGTGAGGCCCTGCTCTTAAGGAATCCACAGGCTGCCAGGAAGGCAGATGGCTCTCAGGGAAGCAGCAGGCATAGCAAAGAGGAAGAGTGTGAACTGTGCAGTTGGGCTCAAGTTCAAGTTTGCTCCCATAGCACCTGAATCAAGACTGCCATGAATGTACCTACCCACCCTAGGGAGATGTGCCCCTTAGATCAACCAGCCATGACACATCAGAGGGGCAGCATTCACACAGACGGAAAGCTGGACAGACAGGAAGGGATAGTCACAGGGAGGAGAGCTTTTTATTGGTGGATTGTAGTCAGGGCCATGAAACCAAATGTGCACGAACTGTTGAGAGTAAAATGAATCTGCTTTGTAAATCTGTACCCAAATCACAAAAAAAAAAAAAAGACTGCCATGGACAGCTCTAGGGGCCATGACTCACATCCTGGTCTCCCTACATGGTCTATGAGGTGGCCCCAAATCAGGGGCATCAGTTTGCTCAGTGATCTCCTCAAAGGGTTGTGGTAAAGGTGACACAAGCATGACAGCCCACCGTGCAGTGGCAGGTGGGAGGTGAGAACTCGGGAAAAGGCCAGGAGAGGTGAGACCCTCAGAGACAGCACTGCCCTCAGACCCTGGCCAGCCCTTGCCTTGAAGCACCTTCCTAGAAGCCTTCTAAGTCCTCTCTGGGGCCTGGAGGGGCTGTCTGGGTGGGGCCCTGGCCCTATCTCTGTTTTGAGGCCACGCTCCTGCCCTCTGTCTGCTGCCACCCACTCCCACCATGGAGGCCCTGGTTCCAGGAAGGAGACCTGGCAGATGCTCTCTCCCCATGACCAGCATGCCATTTCATTCCTAGGATCACATGAGACTGTGTCACAATGATGTTGACATGATGACTCTGGGTGACTCATATTGCCTGTATAGACAGGGTCAGAGCAGACTGTGCCCACAGGGCCCCCACTGGGTACATTTGCAGAAGTCCATTGTCAGGCTTTTCTTCTGACTCACCTCAGGGCAGACTCAAACCTCCAAACTGAACGTGTTAACCAATGAATATCACAAATAACATCATGCCCTAGAGGTGACCTTGCTGGGGCCAGTCAGAGAAGCCCTGCATGCCCCTGGCTTTCTGTGCTGGGTTCAGAAGGATGAATAGGAGTTTACCAAGCAGATGAGGAAGGATGGATCAGTATGGGCAGAGGTTTGGGGGGCAAGGAAACTCAGCAGAGGTTACCTAGGCAGTTGAGTGGTGAGCAGGAGCTGGGAGCCTGGGCCTCCTCCTCCTACCACAGTGAGTCCTTGGCCATGGACACTCTCCCAGCTTTGGAGCCTCTGTGCAGCCCTGACACCCTGTGCTGTAGAAGGGCTGGGGTCCAAGCTGTCTTGGCCGTGAGTGCCCCTACCTCAGTCACTCACCTGGAGGCTGGGGAACAGCTGCTTCCTGGACTGGCAGGGCAGGCATCCTGGGTGAGACTCTGGCCTGGGCCTGGGCCTGGGCCTGGGCAGGGTTGAGGAGTGCTGGTTAGCTGAGGCTGGGCTCTGGGACCCCAGAGCTTAGGGCTCCCTGAGGCCAGAGGTGTGGGCATTGGGTATGCTGGCGAGCCTCAGGAAGGGGTTCCACAGGCCCTCCAGGCTGTGTGTGCATTGTGATCCCTGCAGGTGGGTATGCTTCTGGGGGCCCATGACTCACCACGTCATGACAAGCTTACTGCCCAGGGCAGTCAGAACATGGAGGCCCACCTCCCAGCCAAGCTCTCTGCTGGCAAGTCCCAAAATCTCGAAGGCCACTCAGCCCAAAAAGTGATAAGATGGAGGGAAGAAGGGGCTTCTGACCATTGAGCAGACCAAACCCCAGCCCCACTGGATTCCCTATGCAGGCTAGTCCTGGAGCACGGGGTCTAGCCTGCACTGGGAAGGAAGAAACACTGGGCCACGGGACAGAGACGGCACAAGCAAGGGCTGTGGTTGCTTGGTCTTTCTGGCCCTGCTGTGATTCTTGCCCTTGGCCTGTAGACGCCATCCTGGCCCACCAGGGCCCAGAGTGGAGCCTGCTTGCCCTGGGGCCAAGAAGTACATTTTCAGTAAAAGGTCCCACACACAGCCACCTCCCAAGGCCATGAGCTGCAGCTTCCCCGTCCCTCAGTTACCCGGGTCACCCAGAGCATGCCTATCCGGGAGCCGAGGCTAGCAGGGGCCTGGGGCGCAGCCTCACCTGAATGGCCTGGTCTACCTTCAGGTCTTCCAGAGATGGGTACAGGGTGGACATGGCTGTACCTGGAGTGCCCTGCAGAGCCACAGAGAGTGAGGAGAGGGTAGGAGGCTTGCAGTCCCTGGAGAGAAGGCAGGGCGGGCACCTCCTGCCACTTGGACCACTGAACACCTGCAGATTCAAGAAAGATACCAGGAAGCTTTTATTATCCCCATTTTATGAGTGAAAAAGCCTGACATTCAAAGTGGGATCTGCACCAAAGTCTGTTTACTTGCCAAGCCCGAGGTCACCCCTTGCAAGAGGCCATCCCACCAGGTCTGACTGACTAGACTTTAGAACTCAGGCTGGGAACTACCCAGCAACCGCTGGCCGGCAAAGGCAGGCTGACGGGCCGTGTTCTTCCCTGCCATGCTTCCCAGATGTGCTGATGAGGCTCTGATCACTCAAGACCTAAATTCAGTCCAGCAGGTGCAGGTTGAGCACCTGCTGTATACCAAGGTTCACACTAGGAGGTTGCACAGCGTCATCCCCTGAAAGCTCAGAATTCAGTCCCAGTGAGGCAGGCAAAGGGCTCTGGTGGCATAGTGCCTAAGGCATTTGACTGCTAACCAGAAGACTGGTAGTTCAAACCCACCAGCC